CTTTCCCTCACCCTCCCTCCCTCCCTCCCTCTCCCTCCCTCACTTTCCTTTCCTCTCCCTCTCTCTCCCTCCCTCACCTTCCTTTCCTCTCCCTCTCTCCCTCTCTCTCTCTCTCCCTCAGGTCCTTGACGAAAGCCACACGATCGCCTCGTCCAACAGCACCACCACCCACGTCAAGACCCTCGTCTCCAACCGCCGGTGGTGCATGACCGGCACCCCCTACATCTCCAGGTTCTCCGACGTGAACGGACAGCTGGCGTTCCTCGGCGCGGAGGGGGCCTTCAGGGGGGGGAGCGACCTGGGCGACAAGGCGCCCCGCCGCGAGACCCAGGGGGAGACGGTGGCGTTCCTGAGGAGGGTGCTGCTGAGACACTCGCAGGGCATGAAGCTGGGGGGGCACAGCATCCTCGGCCTACCGACCATCACTAACAAGGTGGGGTGCTCTATTAATAGTCGTTGCGTTGAAGGGGGAGCACCGTTATTTCGATCGCGGTGTTGAGAGGGGGGCACCGTTGTATCGTGGCGTGGGGAGGGGGGTTGTCGTCCTGCGGTGCTTTATCGTTGAGTGGGGGGCACCGTGGTGTAGAGGGGGGCAACGGTGTGTCGATCGCGGTGTTGAGAGGGGGCACCGTTGTATCGTGGCGTGGGGAGAGGGGTTATCGTCCTGCGGTGCTTTAACGTTGAGTGGGGGGCACCGTGGTGGTGTCGCGGTGTGTGGCGGCCCCCCGTTGCACCCGTACCGGACGCCGCTCGGCGGGCGACAAGCACATATCAGGAGGGCTCCGAGTAGAGCAAGCCTGCGTATTAGCCTGACGTTGTCGGGGGGGGGGTTCGCGCTGTGCGGAAATACGCCGTCTATTCTAATCGGGCTGGGGAAAATTGTACGTTACCGTCCTGGTTGTGTCATTTTTGGAAGGACGTCTTCCTTTTGTGGAATATGGCACTCCCTAGCGAAGACTCACCTTGGCGCTTGGCTGTTGACCTTGCACGCCATGCAGGTGGAGGTGCTCACCCTGTCGAGCAAGGAACGCAAGGCCTACGTGGACTTCGAGCAGGGTGTCCAGAACGACTACATCAAGGTCCGGCACCGCCTGCGCACCCAGAAGGGCTCCCACACCATGGAAGTCCTCACCCTCCTCAGCAAGTTCCGGCAGGTGCCCATGTGTTGCTTGCTCTCCCTGCGATTGCTACTTTTTTTTTTTCCACAGCATTGATGGCGACGCTTGTGTTGCTTATACCCCCTGCGGTGCTACACCCTCTTTTTTTTATTTTTTGTTGACAGCGAAGATGGTCACGCTTGCTGCTTTCTCTCCACCATTGCTACTACAGTTCTCGTATTTCACGGCGTTGCTGACGAAGATTGGTCAGCGTTGCATGTTCTTCCTTTGGATGCTACCTTCCGTTTTTTTCACGGCGTTTGTGGGGACGCTTGTGTTGCTCACTCTACCTGCGATCGTCATTTATTTTATTTTTTCACAGGGAAGGGTGGAGTTTTGCATGAAAACGCAGAGAATTGATACGTTGCATGCCCCAAACAGGTGGACGTGCGTGCGCCTGTGGCAGGCGGGCGTGTGTGTGGGAAAGTAAAACGGTGCGATTCCCTGAAGTACGGCTTATTGGCCAGAACAGAGGTTCGGTTCATGTTCGCACGAAGGGTAACAAAAGGAGCTGCGGCACCACAACCACCACCACCACCACCAGGGAAAATTTTGGAATCCGCAATGTTTTCGTTTTGAGGAATTTTCTATGGTATCTACTTTTTGCCTTATTAATGTTGAATTTTCGTTTTTTTGTATTATTTGCGATTCCCAAGCTGTCTTGCAAGCATTTCTTTGTTCGAGGACAGACGTGGGAGCACCGACATCTTCGAACGAGCAACACAAACCACAGCTACCATATCTCTTTTGTCTGTCACGAGGCAGGCGTGCTCTGGCGGGCAGCTGGTGGTGGGAGCTTCGGCGGCGGGGGGCGGCGGTTCTACCCCGGCGACCTTGGACGCGTTTTGCTCCATGTGCAACGAGATCCTCGAAGCTCCCGTCCGGACTCGATGCGGGCACACCTTCTGCCAGGTATTGATGTCGTGGTGTCGAGTTGTTGTCTTTGTTGTTGTTGTTGTGTCGATGTTTTCTTCGCATTCAGAACCGTACCTGACCTTACGCTTGACGCGGTCGATTCCCGTGTTGACAGGCTGACTTACCCTAGAGCGTTATTCTCAAATTTGGTGGACCCGACCCGAAGGTCTGTGGTTTTGTTGTGGTACACTTTTTATTTGATTTCTAGACTAGAAAGAAAGGTGTAGTTGGCTTGTGACCACGGAAGGCGTTCGCCTCAGTTGGACCAGTACGGACATGCGAAGGGACTGAGCGGACACCGGAGCGTTTTTTTAGTCCAAAGAAACAACAAATGCACTACAGCAGTACGTGAACTTTGTGGTCATCTTGCTTCGTCCTGTTTTTTTTTTTTTGTGATCTCATGTTACTGTATCGTGTAGTGCACCCTCTTTGGTAGGTACCTGTTCGCGCCAGGTGGTGGACAGGTACGGGTGTTGCAAGGTGCTGAGCGGAGACGATGTTATACGGTCCTAAGCGGAGACCCGAACGGTTCTTTGATGTGAACACGAAAACGACTTCCAATGTTTTTTTGTTTTTGTTTTTTAATACAATTGGGTCGAAACTTCAATATATGGCACAACATTCGTGCACGGGCGTATTAGTATCGATCGAAGAGAAACGACTTTTGAAGTCCCCCTCCCCCCCCCCTTCAAAATTGCATTTATGAAATTCAATGAAAGTCATGGTCAGGCGTCTTATCACGTCGACATTCCTAGAAAAGGGCCTTCATTCGTGTTTGCGAACCATCTTTATGTTGATCGAAGAGGACCAAGCATGTTGACCACAACAAAACAGGCGTTGATTGACATGAAAAAGAAAAAGAGCTATCATTTGTCAGGCGTGTATCACGTCGGTGTTTCTGGAAAACAATGGGCTACTGTACCGGTACATGTTTGCATGCGCATGCTTGTGTCGATCGAAGAGAACCGCGGATGTTCACCCCCCCCCTCCTCCCCGAAAAAAAGCATATTTCAAATCCATCGACCTGTGTAATGTCAGGCGTGCATGTTGTCGGTCTTGACCCCCCCCCCCCCACACAAAAATGCATTTTCGTGATGTCAGGCGTGTATCTCGTCGGTGCTGACCAAGAGTAAGGACGACGAGGGGCCCTGCCCTAGGTGCAAGACGGCCGTCCGCCTCACGGACCTCACGTCCGTTGGCGGGGGTTCCGTGGCGACAGGAGGGGGAGGGTCGAGCTATGCGGCCAAGCCGGAGTACGGTAAGCCTTATGTTGTGTGTGTGTGTGTGTGTGTGCCTGTGTGTCTGTCTGTCTGTCTGTCGGTCTGTCTGTCTGTCTGTCTGTCTGTGTCTGTCTGTCTGTCTGTCTGTCTGTCTGTCTGTCTGTCTGTCTGTCTGTCTGTCTGTCTGTCTGTCTGTGTCTGTGTCTGTGTCTGTGTCTGTGTCTGTGTCTGTCTGTCTGTCTGTCTGTCTGTCTGTCTGTATGTGTGTGTGTGTGTTTTGTGTGTGTGTGTGTGTCGACAGCCGTAGTTGGGGGGAGGAAGGCGGGGCGCTGTCCAGCCAATTGTAAGTCCTTGTGCGACCACTCCAGCTCCTCGCCCAGCTCTAGACAGCAAAGAGAAAGAAATCGCTCGGCACGGTAATGTGCCACCTACATCATCCCCCCCCCTTGTTTTTTTTCCGTTCCTTTCCACGACGTGCGGTTGACAAGTAATTTCTCCTACATCGATGCATACATGAACTGCTGTTCTCCGATATATTTTTTTTTCAACACAAATGTTTTCCCCCCTTGTGAGGGTCGTCGAAAATCCACGAGCAACTCGACTGCCATCACGCTCGTGGCATGATTGATTGTTGTGCCAGCTACACACCCGCTACCATAGATGGCAGTGCTGTCTGGACTCCGCCCACCTACAACCAAGTGTAAGATCGAGTTTCCACCCCCTGCCCTCCCCCCCCCCAGAACGAATGTTGTTGTTGTTGTTGTTGTTGTTGTTGTCTTCACATTAAAAACCGTTCCGATCTCTCTCTACCCAGTACCTTCGTATGTCCGTACTGATCCAACACTCGACGCGGTCGATTCCCGTGGTCACAGGTTAACTTACCCTAAAAAGGTACACTCAAATAAATTGGCCCCGAGGGACGATTGGCCATAGGTGATCGGTCCTGTGGGAGCCTCGCGCCGTCCTCTCGAGGACGCGTGGTCTAACCGCTAAGGCATGCAAACCATGACTACCCCCCCCCCCCCCCTCGACGCGAGGTCAATGGTCTAACGACTGCGGCATGCACGACTATAAGTTCACCCCACCTCTCGAGAACGGTCAGCGGTCTAACCGCATGCAGAGCATGACTACCCCCTATCCGTCCTGTCGAGGTCCCGTGGTCAATGGTCTAACCGCTAAGGCATGCAACCCCTCTCCCCCTCCCCCGCCCCGGGTTTTCCAGGATATGGAGGCGGGTCGAGCAGCTCTGGAGGATCTTCCTCCTCCTCCTCCTCCCACCCCTCCTCCTCCCACTCCCACTCCTCCTCTCCCGGCGCTGGAGTTGTGATGGAGACGAAGCTCAAGGCTCTTGTGGAGAAGCTGGCAGGCATTCACGCCAAGGACCCCACTTCGAAGAGCCTGGTGTTCTCGCAGTTCAACTCTTCCCTGGAGTGGCTCAAGCGCACCCTGCCGAAGAGGGGCTTCCAGTTCCGCACGCTCACGGGAAACATGTCCCGGACGCAGAGGACCGCGGCGCTCACGGTGCGTTCCGCGGGTTGGCGGGTTTGGTGTAGTGTACCATGGTACGAGCGGTCTGGTATGAGCAGATAATGCTCCAAATGTAGCACACAAGAAGCGTCGTTTTCGCTGCGTGTGGCGCGCCTGTTGTGTTCAAGCACGCGAAGATCGAAGTGCCTTGCCGAATGCTAAAGGTTTGGACACGAGCCGGGATGCCCAATCAACCCACGGCATGCCTGGTTTTTGGTACAACAAAACGCAAGGATAAATGGTCATCTTACTGGCCCTCGTGAAACGTAGATAGCCTAGGACGGCGAAAACCCGGCATATCGCGCTCCGTCCCTGCATCGAAGGGATACGAGGTCAATGGTCGTCCCAAGACCACGCCTTGCATTTACATAAGTACGCCCCCGCCCGTACCTGTCTGCGTCCTCGCGATGGGTTTCTACCGCATTAACAGGCGTTCGCGAAGGACCCTCCGACGACGGTCTTCCTCCTGTCGGTGCGATCGGGAGCTGTGGGGATCAACCTCACGCAGGCCAACAACGTCTTCCTGCTCGAGCCGGTACTTGACTGTCTTCTTTTTTTTTTCTTGCCGGTGGATTTCATGCTTCTTCGCATCGATGGCTTTTCTTGTTTTCGATTCACTCGGCCTTTGCGCGTGCTGCGTAGTGGTGGGCGAAGGTCGTTTTTTTTTTATTCCTGCCCGAGCCGGCGGGTTAGGTCAGTCTTTATTTCCCTCACAATGTGTCTCGTAAACCTGCGTCTGCTT